TAATAATCGAGGGGGATTCCAAAGTGGTGGTGGGTTGGTTGAAAAATTCTGAAGAGGCTATGTGGCGATACAAGAATGAAATGAAGAAATTTAGTTGGTTGACAAGGAATTATTTTGTCAGATGTGTTAGCTAAGCAAGGGGTAAATAGGGAAGAATTATTTTGGGCTCAGTTGTGGTGGGCGATTCTTGTTTTTCTTTCCTAGTTTACTTGTAAGTTTCAAGGAGGGGTTGCAGCTCGCGCCTCTCGTTGGGATGATGTATGAACTCACTCTAATTGCTTATGAATCAATAAACTTACTATTATTCATCAAAAAGAAAAGAGCTTTGGGTTCGGAGACAGATGGTGTAAATGAATTAAGGGGTGTATCAGGACTTGTCACTATTCTGTTTTGGTGAATGGGAAAGATGTTGATCATTTCCAGGCTCTTAGGGGAATTAGGCAAGAGGACCCTCTCTCTCCTTTCCTTTTCACTTTGATTGCTGATGTTCTTGGAAGACAAATCCCTAGGGTGGATTCTAGGAATTTAGTGAAAGGATGGAGGGTAGGTAGGGAAGGTGTGCCAATCACCCATTTACAGTTTGCAAATGATACTATCTTGTTCTATGAAGGGGGAGATAGGAGGTGGACACAGAATTTGAAATTGGTGGTCCAATTATTTAAGAGAATGTCAAATTTAAAGGTGAATCTTGATAAAAGCTGCATTGCAGGGATTAATATGGATCAGAGGTAGATACCAGATAATGCTGAAATCTTAAGTTGTGTGGTGGCTTAATGTCCTTTGATTGATTTGGGGCTTCCTTTGGGTGATAATCCAAGATGTGCAAGTTTTTGGGACCCAGCGGCAGAAAGATTTACTAAAGGTTAGCATCTTAGAAGAAAAGCTATTTGTCTTTAGGGGGAAGAATTACATTGATTAAGTCTTTTTGGCTAATTTGCCTATGTACTACCTGTCAGTTTTTAAAATTCTAGGAATGAAAAATTGGAAAAAACTAATTAGGGTTAGCTGGGAGGTGGTGAGAAGTAAGAAATTTGGAGGTCTTGGTGTTGGAAATATCTAGAAGACGAACATGGATCTTTTAGGGAAATGATTGTGGAGATTGCTGACTAAAAAGGACACATTGTGGGCAAAGGTGATTATTAGTATTCATGGGCTTGCAGCCAATGGATGGAATACTACTGGACTGTGGAATAGAGCAACAAGAGCTTCACCATGATATTCTTCAAGTTTCCCTTCCCTTTGTCAAATACAACTTATGCTCGGGATTCTCACTTGGAGAGAGTTAAGAGAGTTTATCTCTCTCCAGGATGCTCACTTGTATCTTCTTCATTAATTAATGAAAATTTCTGGTTGACAAAAAAAAAATTATATCTTCTATGATGATTCTTATCCCTTGTCTCTTTCATGAACCTCTTTTTTTTTATTTTAATGAAACTTTCTTTTATTAAAAAAATTATCTCAGTTCCTCTTAGGGGCCAATAACCGAGAACTACAGTTGGATCGGTGGCTTTATACTTCTAGGAACCAACAACCCATATATAGATTGCATAGATGTAACCTACAATATCAAATTCTGGCATGAATGTGAAATATTGATCAATGCAAGTAGTACATGGTAGTGTTAATGATCTAAAATAAAAATACTTTGAGAAGATTGTCTAATTGTATGTTTCTATATTACATTTACATGATAATAATAATAGTCACCTTTCATCCATCAAGTCATATGCATCATAATCTTGTTCTTCCCTTGGGGAGGTTTGTTCCAATGGCTGAGGGAGAAGTTTCTTTGTCAAATACATCTCAGCCATATCATTGTCATCATCCAATAGATGTTCAAGTTCATCTCTCACCTAAAGAACACAGAAAGTAGTAAAAAGAAAAAGAAACAATTTATATTGTTAAAAAAATGACAACATGTTGGAACAAACATGCAGTATAGGAATATGAATTCAGAAGAAAATGGAATCTATTTTTATTCCTATTCTTCCATAACAGGCATTCATGAAGGAAATTTGTTGTATCATTCTCATCAAAGATTGTTGAAATTTTCAGTTGAATTGGCATAGACAAACTGACAATGAATTAGCCTGTAGAATTTAGACCCCCCCCCAATTTTCATACAAAGAAATAGCCATCCTATTAATTGTGAACTAGATGCTAAAATCAGGGAATCCCTCAATAATGGTAACCTTTCATTAGATGTTCAAGTAATATGAGGAATAAATTTTTAAGGAAAACCGAGTATGGAAACCAAACCAAACATGAGAAAGTTACACCAAATTCCTGGTTTATCCAGTATCATTGCCACTAAAGGCTGGTCAAATTTTATATGACACGAGGAAGCAACAAGTTTTTAATGATACAAGGTAATAGAACATAATATTCATTTTGATAAAAAGAGAGAGAGAGAGAGAGAGAGAGAGAGAGAGAAAGGGCAGCTTAAAAGAAAAATACTTAGGATTTATTGATGTGCATGTTGTATGGAATATGATGTTGATAATCATGTGCTTTTTGGATGAAAGCAATACCTTTCTATTATTAAATCATTTTCCTTGTTTTATTAATGAAGTGGGGTTCTTGTCTTTCTCTTTTATATATATAAGGTCCTACATTATCACCTATGGTTGTTCATGATACTTCATTTTTAGTAAGATGAATGGTTAGAATGCCCAAGTTCTTTCTAGAACGGATATTTTTTTGCCCCCATTTTAGGCTTGAAAACAATTATTAAGAAAAAAATAGTAATAACTATAATAGATATGAAGAGATCTCCCTGATGAGAAAAAATCATCCAAAGTACAAACATAAAGAAATAGTTAACAACTCTCAGAATCCAATTTTTTAATCATCCACTTGGGAAAAGAGACTGATTATATCCTATAGGTTGTAGGTCAGAAGAAAAAAGAGCAAAGAGAAGAGAAGAATAGGAGAAACCAAGAAAGAAAGAGAGAAGCAACTGGTGTGGATAGTGTTTATCTCTACCTTTTCCCACTTCTATTTGTAATAGAAAACTAAGTAACATAACAATCCCCTCTTTAGTAATCCGGGGGTAAAGGACAAATCTGCCCTGCCACTTACTCCAAAGTCCAAATACAATATACCACTTCTAACACTCCCTCTCAATCCAGAGCATATATATCATATAACTCTAGTTTGTTACATATTTAGATTGTAGGTCTTAATCTGATTCAGGCATGCTTTGATACAATGTTTCAGGCCTACAATCTCTGCTAGATATGACAGATTGTGTCCTTTATAATAGATTTATAGATCAGAAAAGAAAAGAAAGAAGGAATAAAGAAGAGGAGAGAAGAATAGGAGAAAGAAAGAGAGAAGAAATAACTGGTGGAGATTCTCTACAAATTCTCTACATATGCCCATTTTATAATAAAAAATGAATTAAATTACAAGATTTCCCTTCTTTTTTATTGATAATATATGAATTTTTATTGAAATTAAGAGAAACAGAAGAAAGGTACAAGGTGGAAACTTCAACCACAGAGGCACAAGTTGCAGCCTTAATAAGAGTTAGATCTATCTGGAAAGAGTTAGATTACTATCAGAACATTAACTGGGAAAGTGAAAATGATGCCAAAGCTTACAAACAGTTAGTGTCACAGCAGCGGGCGTTTGCCTTTTTGTTAGGGATTAATCCTATGTACGAACCAATTCGAGTTCAAATTTTGGGTAGTAAGGACCTTCCTTCTGTCCAAGAGGTGTATGCTCTAGTCCAGTCCAAAAAAAGTAGAAAATCTGCCATGAATCCTCCCAAGGGGGAGACCATTGCCTTAGTTGCAAGAAGTAATACCAATTCAGCAAGAAAGGGAGATGGTCAGAAAAGGGTTGATGATAAAAAACTGTGGTGCACTCATTGTCAGAAATCCTAACACACACAGGAGACATGTTGGGAATTGCATGGAAAGCCAAAGTGGGCACAAGAGTTAAATAAGAAATCAGCTCAAAAACAGAACAAGAAACCAAATCAGAAGAAATTCACCTTGGCTAACTTGGCCTCTCACGTTGCAGAGTGGAGGAACTATTGTGAATTCTCAGGATTGCCCCCCTAGGTCTGATCTCAAGGAAAATATTATCTCTGCCTTCTATGACCATTTGGAACAATATGGTAGGGCTCTCACACAAGCAGATTCTGGGCCCACTCCTTCAACCTCCTTTGCTTCTACCTCAAGTAACTTAGCTTCTGCATTCCATGTGTCTACTGATACCTCCAAATCTCCATGGATTATTGATTTTGGTGCTTCCAATCACATGACTGGTAAGTCAACCTTTTTCCAATAATACACCCTTCTTTCTGGCAAAGATAAAGTGATGTTAGCCGATGGATCCTTCTCCTCCATTGCTGGTCGAGGATCTATATCTTTGCCATTCAGCTTACCTCTATCCAATGTTTTACATGTTCCAAAACTGCCTATTAATCTGCTTTCTATTAGTAGCATTACACACTCTTTGAACTGCTCAATGACCTTTTTTCCTCAATCTTGCATCTTCCAGGATTTGGCCTCTGGGAGGACGATTGGTAAAGGGAACATGGTGAATTGTCTCTATGTGCTGGAGAATAAAGTTGGTCTTGCAGCCTCAGAGTCTTTGAGTCAGTCAAATAAAAGTTAAGTTACTTTGTGGCACAATCATTTGGGTCATATGTGCTTTGAGTCTTTAAAGTACTTGTTTCCAAAAATGTTTAAGTCTATATCAGATGATTTTCAGTGTCAAGTGTGTCAGCTAAGTAAACATTGTAGAACTTCATTTCCTTTACGTAATAAAAGATCAGATGTTTCTTTTTCCATTGTGTATTATGATGTTTGGGGACCTATAAATATTCCAATGGAGAATGGTTACAGATACTTCATATCTTTCATTGATGACTTCTCTCGATACACGTAGGTGTACCCTATGCACTTTCGAGAAGAAGTTCCTAAACTTGTGAAAGCATTCCAACGTATGGTGTACACACAATTTCAAACAGAGATTAGAATTTTCCAATTAGACAATGCCAAAGAGTATTTTCATGGTGACCTCACTGAATTTTTTGAAACTTGTAGCTCTCTTCATCGTAGCTCTTGTGCTAGAACCCCTCAATAGAATGGGGTTGCAAAGAGAAAGAACCGTAATCTTCTAGAGGTTGCTCGGGGGTTACTGATACACATGAATGTTCCCAAAAGATTTTGGGTGGATGTTGTTATGACTGCAGCTTATCTTCCCCACTGCTCCATTGTTTCCTATCCCTATGCGTGTCTTTGGGTGTAAATGTTTTGTCCATGATTTGTCTCCTACCCGCGGGAAGCTAGATCCCAAAGCCATTGTTTGTGTTTTCCTTGGCTACCCCCTTTCCCAAAAGGGTTATCGTTGCTTTGACCCTATTTCCAAAAAGTACTTTGTATCCATGGATGTTTCTTTCTTTGAAGATGTGTCCTTCTTCCCTGCTTCTCCTCAAGGGGAGAGTCCAAGTGAGGAGAAATAGAGACAGGTTTTGTTGCCTTCTCCTCCTGACCCTCCTCTATTTCGGGTCTTTCGTAGACAGCGTTACAAAAGTCAAGGCCAGGGTCAACAAAGTTCAATAGACATACAGCATCCTAAAGCTATGTAACCTATGCCATCAAACTCTCAAGGATTGAATCCATCACTACATCCAGGTACTATTGTTCTAGTTAATGTCCCTTAACCCATTGATATTGATACTTCTAATTGTGATCTAGACCTTCCAATTGCTAAGAGGAAGGGTGTCAGATCATGCACCACACACACCACCCAATGGCTCACTCCTTATCCTATGAGAATGTTTCACCCTCTTTCCGTGCTTTTCTCTCTGCTATTGACAGTGTTTCCCTTCTCAAGAGTGTTGAAGAAGCTTTACTTATTCTTGAGTGGACAGATGCAAGGAAGGAGGAGATCAATGCCCTTCACAAAAATATCATGTGGGAGTTGGTAGATCTTCTTGAGGGAAAGGAACCTGTGGGGTGCAAATGGGTATTCTCTGTGAAACATAAGGCAGATGGCACAATGCAAAGATACAAGGGCCGGCTAGTTGCAAAAGGTTTTTCACAGGTGTATGGAGTTGATTATGCAGAAACCTTTGCACCTATAGCAAAAATGAATTCTATTCGAGTTCTCCTTTCTTTAGCAACAAATTTAGATTGGGATCTTCATCAACAGGACATTAAAAATGCCTTTTTGAATGGTGACTTAGAAGAAGAAGTGTGCATGACCCAACCTCCAGGTTTTTGTGCTAAGGGAAATGAGTAGAAAGTTTGCAGACGGAAGAAATCTCTATATGGCTTAAAACAATATCCAAGGACCTGGTTCAGTAGGTTCCACAAAGTAGTTCAACAGATGGGCTTTAAGCAGTGCCAGTCTGATCACACACTCTTTGTGAAGAGAGAACAATGAAGAATGGCAGTTTTAATTGTGTATGCCGATGACATTTTTATCACTGGTGAATGGGACTCAGAGATACAGAGATTGAAGAGATTCTTGGCTACTTAGTTTGAAGTGAAGAATTTGGGACCTTTACGTTATTTCCTTGGAATTGAAGTTGCCCGCTCAAATCAGGGTATCTTCATCTCCCAGAGGAAATATATTATAGATCTCTTGAAAGACACGGGGAAGCTTGGAGCAAAACCTGCTGACACTCCTATAGATGTGAATCACAGACTTGGGGATTGTAGTGATGAGCCCATAGCAGACGCAAAGCAGTATCAAAAATTGGTGGGCGGACTTCTCTACCTATCTATGACAAGACCTGACATTGTGTTGGCAATAAGAGTCCTTAGTCAATTTATGCATGCTCCCAGGACCACATACTTGGAGGCAGCATACAGAGTTCTTAGGTATTTAAAAATCCCTGGGACTAGACTCCTATTTGAAAAACATGGACATATGAAAGTTGAGGTTTACACTGATGTAGATTGGGCTGGTTCTATGGATGACAAAAAATCAACTAGTAACTATTGTGCCTTTGTTTGGGGAAATCTTGTTACTTGGAGGAGTAAAAAACAAAGTGTGGTGGCCAAATTGAGTGCAGAAGCTGAATACAAGGCCATGTCTCATGGTGTGGTAGAACTTCTATGGATAAAGAACCTCTTGGGTGAATTGGGCTTTCCTTTCAGTGACCCTATGTCACTCTACTGTGACAATAAGGCAGCCATCAACATTGCAGCCAATCCTATCTCCATGATAGAACTAAACATATAGAGGTTGACAAACACTTAATCAGGGAAAAATTGGAAAAAGGATAAGTTTGCACTCCCTACATCAGCTTTGAGGGACAACTTGCAGACATCCTTACCAAAGGATTAAACTCCATGTGATACTATAATCTTTGTGACAAGTTGGGGTGATTGATATCTACGCCCCAACTTGAGGGGGAGTGATGTAATCTTAGTTATGTGCCGCAAGGGCACTTATGTCTTTTCTTTTATTTTTTATCTCTTTTTTTGTCGCCCTAATATTTAAATGAAAAGTCTAGCGCCGCCAAAATAAATAATTCGATCTCCATCTTCTCTTCTCTTCTCTTCCTTCTTCTTCTTCTTATCTTCTTCTCTTCTCTTCTTCACTCTTGAATGGAATCAAGGAGGAATTGGTCTAGACCAAATTTCCTTACAAAAAGATAACTAGGGGTTAGAAACAGAACACAAGGAAGAGAAAAATGAGGCACAAGAGAAAGAACCCAAAGAGTTGGGGGTCTAAACAATGCACATCAGGTTTAGAGGGGTCCAAGCAAATAGGTTCAAGAGTCTTGAGAAGCAAGGCCACACAACCAATCTCTGAAACCCTCAAGTCTCTCCTAAAACCCAAGTTCCAATTAAAACCCCAAGAATGAGAAAGGGACACAAAGCTTTGAATGCGTTCATTTTTAAAGAGAGAAATAGAATACAAAGGAAATTGGTCCTTTAGGGCAAAGTTACCAATCAGGATGTCTTCCTAGAAAAAAAAAAAAAAAAAATTATCACTAGAGCAAATGTAATACCCGACGAGGCTCAAAAAGTGGGGGAGAACCTCATTTATAGCCTTCCATGGAGAGTTCAAGGTGGACCACCAAGATACACCAGCATCCCAACCATTATCTGCACAACCACGGATACTTCCTACAACCTTATGCTAAAGCCTCTCCCTCTCAAGAGGCCACCTCCACAACCACTTACCTAGCAAAGCCATATTTTTCTTCCTATACCCAAACCTACACACTAAATCCCACCTAACCAAATGGTCCTTTCTTCCTTCACCAAGCTCCCGCAAGAGGGGAGGAGTCTCCCCTCTTTAGTTATCTAGAAGTAGGAGGACAAATCTGTCGTGCTGCCTACCACAGTACAATATACCACTTCTAACATGACTAATGTATTTATATAAACACATAAATGATTGACACTAGGGCTGTTCATAAGAAGGCCCAACCCGACCAACCCGAACCGACCCAACCTGAGTTGGCCGGGTTTTTATCAGCACCGGTCGGTTTCGGGTTGGGCAAAATCATAAACCGATATATCGGGTCAGTTTCGGTTTTCTTATGTGAAAACCGAAACCGACCCGAACCAAACCAAACCAATTAGTTTTCTAGTTCAGTAGTTCCTAGTTTCCTACTTAACTAGTCTTCTACTAGAACTAGAACAGCCCTATCTTCTAGTTCTTACTTAACTAAATTGTATCTATCCTAATTTCTAGTCTTTTACACCAAATAGGCAACCCATTAGGCAATTACAATTAGAATTAGGTGTCCTTCTAGTTCTAGGCTTCTCTATCATTTTTGTACAGGAGCAAAACCGAAACCGACCCAAACTGACCCAACCCGACTCAAACCAACCAGGTCGGTTTTGCCTATCAGTGGGTCGGTTTCGGTTTCCACCTCATGTAACCCGACCAGGTCGGGTCGGTTGGGAAAACCCCTGTAAACCGACCCAACCCGACCCGTGAACAGCCCTAATTGACACTATCCCCACCATGTATTCCTTTATTTTTTTATTTTTTTCTACCATGCAGACCTTCTTTCTTTGCTTCTTCTTGGCCAGTAATGCTTGTATGCTTTTCGTATACATTTTGCTTTTTTCTAAATTTAAGGCATACCACAAAAGGGAACTGAGTTCTCAAGTAAAAAAGAAAAAGATTGGTACTAACCATAGCCTTATTTAATTAAATAATTTTCAAATGTTTTTCTAAAGACAAATTTCCTATTGAGAATTCACAGGTAAATGCATTAACATGTCTCAATAAGATTGTGCACCTTCTTTGGAGACTGAATATGGGAATTATGATAATAACCATGGCAGTGGATCTCCCTAACATGGTATTGTTTTTAAACTCTAAGGAATCCTCGAACAAGTAGCTTTTATATGTTTCTATCACTAGTTTCTCACTGACAAGGATTACAGTTTCAGTGTCAAGAGTATCAACTTTTTTTCATATCATACATATGAAAACATGGATATACCAGCAAATATAAGATGAAGTATGGAAAGTTGGAAGGCCAAAGAAATATTTAAAACATGCACTTTTTTGTGTTTTTACATGACTAGAAATAATCATCAGGTGATGCAGAAATGGATACTTTATCTATCTATACTACGGACTACAAATCAACAAGTAAGATACATGCAAAGTTGAACAATAAATATTCTAGACGCTGGAAGGCCAATAACATATATTCAACATGATTAAACATGCATATGATAGCATGGAAACATATAGTATTTCATCCTAAATATTAATCTATAGATATTGGAGGAAAAACAATAACATCCATTGGAACTAAAAGGTAAAAGGCAGGCTCAAAAAGGTATTGAAAGTAATTTGTCCACATAAACCACACAACCCCAAAGAAGCTTTCTCATAAAATGTTTTTGATATATCATAGAAATTCAACTATCTAGAGCTCTATTCTCCTCAGGAAGATCAATAGTGAATAAGTTATCCATTCTGTCTTGCAATTACTCTTTCCTAAATATGAAAATTTGTTCTTTTCTTCCCCCTTTTAGAGGAAGATTTACTAAGTGCAGAAATGGAATGCATAAGTTTGTAGATGCTGAAAATGAATAAACATTTCTATTATAATTAAACTACGACTTGATATTCCTAAACAAAATTGCTCTAGGTATGAAGTAAACATTCCTACAGTAATTACAATTCCATTAAATAAACCCAATAAACAGAACAAAATCAGTCCTTCAAATTCAAAAAATGAAAAGATCTAAGAAAATGAAATATAAATTACTCAAATATGCAATAGTAACAACAGCAACAACAACAATAACAATCTATTGAACAACATACTCTCATATACCTTCTGCACACGGCCAGATATTGCAACTAGACGACTTTTTAGTTGTCTCACACGTTCAAGATTAAGAGTGCTGATTTTAGATGTTAATTCATCAAAAGCTGGATATGCCTCTTGCTCCAATGTGGAAGTCTGATATGAATGTTCACATACAATTTGATAAGAATTTTCTAATATTTGCTGAGAAAAATTAGAAAAACTATAAAGAAATTAGTAAAACTGGGTAGCCTTTTCATAATCAGAAATATATAAACATTTAACATAAATAAAGAAAGACATAAAATGGATATCTTGCAATAACTAATGGGAATATAATATTGCCTATGCTCCAAAAGCTGATATAAGTTCCTTGATTAAGGCTCAGATCAGAAGGTTTCATTCAACGCAACTGTATACCATGTATGGAAGGAAAGAATTGTTGGGATATTTCAAAATAAATATCGATGGCAGAAGCTGTAGCATGGGCCACACCAGCAGCACCGAAGGTTACTGAAAACATTTGATTGTTAAACTTATCATTGATTTCATCAACAAGGAATTTCCAATAACTCACTGAAATTTCAGAAAGCTTGGTTGACAGTTGGAAATTTTGAGTATTAGTGGTTAAACCTGACAATGGTTTTCATAATATTCTCAATACATCATTGAACTAATGGCAATGGATTCTAGGACTGTTTCATGTTGCCCCAAGTGAAAGGGTGAGAATTCAGAGAAACTTTGCTGACATTGGAAACAATGGCCATATCTTTCATCAGAAATCTTTATGATCAAGGTTCAAAGCAGTGTTTTAAAAGCGCAAGGCGCAAAAAAAGCGCAAGGGCCAATTTGCGCCTGAGACGCAAGGCGAGGCGCGCACCTTTTTAAGAAAGAAGCAAAATTACAAAAAAATAAAAAAAAAGCTAAAAAATAAAAAAAAAAGTCAGAAAATTCCAAAAAAAAATGCCAAAAATTAAAAAAAAATGCAAAAAAATTTAAAAATACTAAACATAATGTTAATAAAAATATAAACTTAAATTTTAAAATAAATTATTTAAAAAACCTATTATCTAAAATTAAAATACATAAACATAACATATAAAGTGTATTCAAATGAAAATTTAAAAATAAAAGCAAACATATAAAACATTTTCAAGCATGTAAAACCCACAATCACTTTTTCTCCTTAATTGCATTGTTTCAAGTAGCTAATGTATGGTAAAACATATTGCATTCTTGATTCTGAGTCGCCTTTGTACCACGCCCCTCGAGGCAAGCCTGAAAAAGTCTAAGTTAGGGTCTGAAATTCTTATTTCTCACATAAAAAATGCTTATTCTCACATAAAAAAAAATACTTATTCTAAAGCATTTTCAAACATTGCTCGCTTCGGTGAGCGAGCAAAGGGAGCGAACCGGAGCGGAGAGAACCCCCTATTTGTTTATGTTGTTCATTCATTCATTGCAATAAAATATCTTCTTAAAAGGCAATGAAAGTTGTAAAATCATTATTTTTTATGTGAAAAATATGAATTTCAGACCCTAACATAGACTTGTCTGGGCTTGCCTTGAGGGGCGTGGTCAGGGGTCCAAGGGCGGAGCCCCTGACCCAGCCGTTAAACTCAAAGAAAAGCAAAACGCGCAAAATTTTAAAAAGGCGCATGCCTGGGATGAGGCGCAAGGTGCACCAGGCGCGCACCTTTTGAAAGAGGTGCGCCTAGGACCTGGGCAAGGCACATAGCCCAAAATGCGCCTTGCCTGTGCACCTAGGCGCGCCTTTTAAATCACTGGTTCAAAGTATCAATATGTATTGTGGCGTATTTTATGATATGTATCAGTTTTTAGGATCACTTTAATTGTTTTAAATATTAATAACTTATTTAACATGTCTTCTTTCAAATTATCTTTTTTGAAGAATAACAATAAAAATTCAATAGAAAAAAGAAAATAGAATACAATAGGAAGGTGATAAGACATCAACCAAAGAGGAAGCAAACCCAAAGAACCCAACAAAAATCTCAAGAGTCCCATACTAAAACCCAATAAAACCAAGCAACTAACAAAACTTTTGATGTGGACGCGTATTGGGAGCAACAGCAGCAATGATCCGGTGTTCTCATCCTACCCAATTCGGCAGCAACAGTCTTATCCATTCAGCATATTAGATTAGACTATCTCGTTATTCTTATCTTATTAAGTTAGTAGATTAGATTATCTTATCTTATCTTATTAGATTAGGATTAAGAGAGATTATCTTATCTTATTAGATTAGGATTAAGAGAGATTATCTTATCTTATTAGATTAGGATTAAGAGAGATTATCTTATCTTATTAGATTAGGATTAAGAGAGACATCTTATCTTATCAGTCTTATCTTATCAAGATAGAGTTGGAGGTCTCCCTATTCATCAAGGAGTCTCCCTAAGAGCAGGACTCTTGTAATCTCCTATTTAAGGAGACACTATTATTGAATAAAGGCATCCAAAATTTCAGTCAAAGAGAAGGGTAAAAGAGAGTTAGGGTGGTCTCTTGGACAAATCACCCCTTAGGTCACTACGATAGGGTCAGCATGCAAAGGGAGGGGCAAGGGGAAACTAGAGGTTCTCCCCGTGGACCGACCCGTGACGAGATCCTACGCCCGGGCCCATAACAACTTTAAGATTCTCTCAAAAGAGTTCAAATCTCCACCCCACAAGGGGCCACCCCACAGCACATCCCCACCGTGTATTGGGAACATCTCCCGACGATAGTACCGGAACCGATGATGTCATCATCGGGAGATGTTCCCAATACATGGCAGGGATGTTCTGTGGGGCGTTGTGAGGCGAACCCTTGTGGGGCGGAGATGTGAATTCTTTTGAGAGAATCTTAAGCAAAGGCCAAGGAAACAACCCAAACACATCCCTATGAGAGCAAATACATCCAACCCCACCCTTGAACAGAAACTTAATCCCTCCTTGCTCCATGACCAAGACCTCAATCTTCCTCCACGAAATCATCCTTTTCATCCCAACGCTTGTCACCTTCCCGATGAGTGTTTTTGTTCACCTTATCTTCCCTTTTCCTTCTTTCAACCTCCTCAAAGGCCCTTCCAGCAAACTCCTCACCACCCCAGAAAAACAAACCCAGACTCTTTCCAATCGTGACCTCTCTATCCACCAAATTATAGTGTCCCACACCCTGTCTTGGTGTTAGCGTCGTCATTATTTTGCATTGTCTCGCTCTTACCAGAAAGAGTCAACATCACTCAGATTGTTCTGTTGCTCCTTCCCTGAATGGGAGGCCACTGGCTGGCTCTGCATCATTGTCCCCTATTGTCTGTGCCAGATATCCCGTTGCCTCTTAATCTTTTCCTCATATAAACCCATTTGTAGTTATCCATAGGTCCTACGCCTCGAGAATATATTTGTCACATGCATTACATTATGATTTTTCAAACTATGTGATACCTCGCTTATCTGGTTCTCTTCCTTTTCATCAGGCTTGCTCCTTCGGCCCAAATCAACACCTAGCCTTCTTGTCGTCACCTCCTCGAGGTGAAAACCAGAGTCCTGATGCCTTCACCATCACCTGTTTCCCCTTTCCGCTTTCCCCTTATTCTCATCTTTTCTCTCATGTTCATCACCAGCAGAAACACGACCTTTCCCAACCTCCTCCTTCCCCCCTTCTAGCCTCTGTAAACCCGTAGAGAAGTCCACTTCCGAAGTCAATACAACAGGCTTTCCAAAGTTCATGCTTGTTCACATTTGAAACCTCGAGCTCAATAGAGTAACAAAATATCTTGGCAAACTCTACCACCCAGAGGGCAGAAACCAGACTCTTCATTCGCTGAAGAAGTTGGGAAACTTACAAGATTCACGCCTGTTTGACCAATAAAACTATTCTTACCGCTCTTATCATACTTGGAGATCACCCAGTTCCACCTTTCTCCCTTACTCTTTCTGCTTTCACTCGAAGCACTTCTAATCAGCATCACATTTCTTTTAAACTTTGGACTATTAAGATCTAACACCATTTTCTTGTAGACTCTATTATATTTCTTCCTCCTCTAATTTTTCTTTCTTCCCTTAACTAGTTCAACGTTGTGAGCTTCAGCTCCATCTGGGGCTTCACTTGGACGAGACGCGAGCCCCTGGACGGAGGAAGATGATGACAGATAAAAGTAACACGTCTCCTGTCGAGCCGCTCAAATAGGCGTGTAAACGGAGCGAATTCGAATCGGATCATGTTATATTCGAATTCGGTTAGATATTCGACGGATAATCAAAAGTAAAAACTGAATTCGAATTTGACTTAGATAATTGAATATTTGGTTAATTCGAATTCGATGGATTAAACCTAATTCTTGAAACATAACAATCGAACACTCTCATTCCCTTTGAATGAACTAGAGAGAAAGGAGAAAATATATTATTTCATTTTTAACAATCTATGGAGAGAAACCTGATTCTATAAAGATGAAGACAGACGAAGAACAAGGGGAAAAATAACAATAAAACAAAAAGCTAATAAAATCTATAATAAATAATAAGCCTTCGGTAACGTAGAGAAAGCAAGAGAGATGAGGGAGAGGAGAGACAAAGAAGAAAATATCATATTTCATTTTTAACGATCTATGGAGACAAACCTGTTTCTATAAATGATGACGACAGACGAAGAATAAGGAGAAAAATAAAAACAAAAAACAAAAAACTAATAAAATCTAGAATAAATAAAAAGTTTTCGATAACGTAGAGAAAGCAAGAGATGAGGGAGGGGAGAGAGAGAAGAGAGACTTCTACAGGCTGTTGCTTCTTCAATTCATGGCGTTAGTAAACCCAGACGCGAGGGGAAGAAGGTAGAAGGGAGGGAAATGGAAAAGTTCGAAACTGGTTAGAGGTCAGAGATTAGAAAGAATAAGTACTAAAGGGCGGAGATGAGATGGGGTAGGTTGTATGGGCAGAAGTAATATTTCTCTTTTTATATGATATAAAAAAGTTATAGACACTTGGGCGGTTTGGCCAAGTTTCGAAGATATTCATGTTTCTTTTATAAAAAGCGGTGATACTTATAAATAATATATTATATTTATATTATAATAATCGAATTCGGATAATTATCGAATCGAATCAACTTATATTCGAATTCGATTAGATAATTTATTCGATTCGATAATTTAACCGATACAAGATGTATATTCGAATTCGACCGTTCACGCTATTCGAATTATTCGAATTCGATTATTAATTTTGGTGTTGAATTCGAATTCGAATTTTTGAATACCGTTGACACCCCTAGTTCAAACGCCTTTATCCTTAATAATCACATGACCTGCTTTTCTTAACCTGGTGACACTTTTCATCCGATCCCATTTTTTTAATTTAAATTGATTCGAGCCACCTCTCAATAGATTTTAAGGACATGTTTGTTTTCTCTTAACTCTTATCTCTTAAGAAGAATCTTTTAACTTTAAAATAAAATTGATTATTCGTTTTCTCTTATCTCTTGTCTTTTAAAGTATAATCATACAACTTTTTGTTTTCCAATGATACTCTAAAAAAGACAAACAAAAACTATCATATATGGGGTCAAAATGGATATTTGATAGCTTTCAGAATTCAGAACAACATTCTTTGCATTCAGAGTTCAGAAGAATGAAAAGTTCACCAATACCAATATACCTCTTAGTGTAATTATTACACTTTCAGATGTCAGACTTCAGAGAAACGAACAGGCCCTTAAGTTTGTGGTCGGTGGTCCCAAAGCTTTATGTGACATGGCACTGCCCATGATAGCCTCATCATAAGATTTTGCATAGGAATGGCAACGGTGCGGGGCAGGGACGGGGAGCCTGCAAAAATCCCCATCCCCGTCCTTACTAACGAGAACAAGGTTATCCCCATCCCCATTCCCACGAGGATCCCCATTCCCCGTGATTCTTTATAATGCTAATCATTTTGTTTTTGTTTTCATTTTATTTAAAAAATAAAAATAAAATAATTAACATTTACAATCGTATTAGAAAATATTCAAACATATTCAACCATCTTTTTAAAAATATTAATATATAGATGTATACTTACATATTTACATATATAACGTATGTATACATATATACATATATATTAGTGGAGATCCCACAAAATAGGGATTGAGGTCCCTGCGGGGCAGGGAGTGCCTTTCCCGTCCCCGCCCCGTTCCCGCTAACAAGGATGAAGCACTCCCTGCCCCGCTAACAGGGATGAAAATTTCCCCATCCCCATGGAGAAAAATAATCCCCATCTTTACCCCATTCGGGGCAGATCCCCACGGCAAAATGGGGAAAATTGCCATCCTTAATTTTGCACCTAATTCGACTTCGTCTTCAGTCCAAACACGATTTGTCAGGGCACAGTTCGCGCATTCGGAGGACGCGCCACGTGTCCTTCGAATCGTGTGAGACTCACCTAATTCAATTACATTTGAATTACAAACTTTACAAGGCACATTTCCTTTTCGTCAGACCCGCGTGCAGTCTCTACAAATTCCTTCGAACTTCGACCAATAGCCTTTAAACTTTTGTCTGTTCTATCCCCTCCACGTGTAACCCATCCCTCCTGAAAATCATTGTCTTCCTACCTTAGAAAATTTCGTCCAAAGTGACGTTTCAATTTCCAACAAAACCCAGACCTTCAACTAGAGACCATCTGCGAGAAGACTTATGTATCCAGGGACATCTTCAGGCTTCAATCCCACAATTCTGAGTCTTGCAGTGTGTAGATCTTGAAGATTATAAGCAGTCAATGCTCCACCCAAAATCCGTATCAATCCTTCAAGTGTTTCCACATTCCAAAGATTGAAGGGGAGACCCACAAGCTGAATCGCAAGATTTTCTACAGTGATAGGGTTCTGATTACAGGACATATGCCAGACCTCTGCCTTTACCAAGCCATATGGAGAGTCCACCATTTCAGTAGTGGAAATCACAACGTCTTCGTCAACTCCAAATAACACAACCTTTGAATTATCGAAGGACTTGATATTCACAGGGCCCTTTAATCTAAATCTCTCCATAATCGCTTCCAAGATCCTTCCCCAATCAGTAATTCTTTTGACCGATGTTAAGATCAAATTCTTCTCCCAGGCTCCATTCTCCACTTCCAAGAACATCCTCTGACTTCTAGTAGTGTTACAGACGATAGCTTGTGGGATTCCTTTCTTTGATTTTTCCTCCTTCAATTGTTCTCTGTAACTTTGCTCGTCAGAGGCCACTGGGCCATTGCAGGTTTTTTGGAATTTTTCCTTCTTCCAGAATGAACAGGAATTCCTGTAGTAAGTCTGCAAACAATCTCCACCCTGTTCTCTTTCTTCCTACCGGTACATACAACAACTGTCTTCTGCTATCATCAAGCATTTCCACAATCGCCACAAACCAGCCTTTCACACTCCTCATTTCAGCTTCAAAATTTTTACCAAACCAAAAAAAAAAGAGTATTGACATAAATAAACTCTCAATATGCTAAGAGTATTTATACTTTGAACCTCGCCTGTGATAGGACTTGGGATGTCTACTAAATTTCAGGTGCCTTCACTCCACTAGTTTGGATTAGTGGGGAAATAACAAGGTGTATCTGGTTGTATGTCATATAGGATAATGGATGCATTATTTCCTGTGAGGAAAATGCAGGCCATGTCTCTTTTTCATTGTTTTTGGATCTCTCTGATGTTTGGAGAAAAATTAATAGTGGTTAGTCACCTTGCTTCATCTTGTTCGTAGCCATATTTTGCCTTTTGTATAATGTTGGTTCAAGTCTTAGAGCAGTCACTTTTTGAAAAAAAAAAATGCCAAAGGTTAGATTCATGTTCAGTCTACCCCTCCTAAGACCCCCTATAGCTAAGACTATCATAGGTAACGGAGTACCCTGCAGATTCCCCCTTGAACTATGTACTGTTATTGTATTGATGAAGATGCTAGGGGCTTATATGGTTTCAATAATATAGCTGATTACTCATCAGTCTAATACCTTGAATTCCTTGACTAAATGCTAAAATAGATGTTCCCTGGTCCAGAGATCAAGGAATAAACAAGATTGGCAGTAGTAGTTATTTATTAGTTGAGCAAATCCTTCAAAGCTAGGTAAGATATTTAATCTTTTGCAGTAAAAGATTTGCAATCATTTTTAATGAGAAATAAGCCAGATTGGAAATCTCTTTCGTAGAGGCTTGATTTGAAATTTTGTAGAGTTCCTGTCATCTTTCTAAACCTAATATGGAAGATTAAGTCAACATGTTTCATTTCTCCCTTATTACTACAGTCCAACATGTCTTAGAGTCTCCAAAAATGTGCATGTGACCTAGCATTGAATGAATTAAAATGCACGTTTTAAATATCTTTCCAAATAGAAAGGAATATATACATACGAGCAAAGAGATATGCACAAGAAATACTGGCTAGTTGTTGCCTCAGATTAAATGATAAAAGATTTATTATTGATAGTGTGATCAAGAGCAGTTAAATGGTAAAATAAATACCTCAGAATCAAGGCACCTACAAGCAGATTCAAGGCAAGCTTCAAGTGCTATGAACTCAAATGGTAACACCTTGGTACCAGCACCTACTGGTGCATCTGTTGTGGACTTTGGACTGCTGTCTTTCATTTCAGAATGAGGCACAGAGATGCCAAGTGAATCATGAAGTTGCTCAGAAATATTCTGGCTGGATGGCTTTATTAATACACTGTGAACATGAAATAATGGTGTGTCAGATGATGCTGTGGCTGCAACCTCCAGATCAGTATCACTGCTCTCTGTCACCTTTGAACAAACAAAGCAAATCCAATAAATATATATTATAGACCTATGAAATGTTTTACTTCAATGAGAAAGATGCTTTCTTACTTGTGAGATTCTATACTCCACTGAAAAGAAATTGTTTTAGAATGAAGATTTACTTGCTAATTGACTCCATGGAGTTAAAGTTATTGCTCAAAATTGCTCGTCCACAAGCTATTTAACAACCCACATATATTATACCAGTGCTTCTAGAATGTATTAAACATGGGCACAATGAAGTAGAACAAACAAGTTTGATAGGTAAAGGTAGGTTTGAGTTATTCTTTAAATACAAACATTTGTTAATGTTTAAACATGACCATATTGATAGGGTTTCCCTAATATGAGGCCCTAATTTGTGGATTAATATCAAAATTCCCAAAACAACTAGGTCAAACCAAATTCTATACCACTGAAACAGCCCCCTTTTTCTCAAGGTAGTTCTGGCAATAAACCTGAATATTATTTGAGTGGTTCCTCCACATGCACCAATAACAAAGAAAATGATACAGAAGAAACTTTTCTATATGCAGGGACTCTTCTTAATGCACCATGTAACTTGCTGCGATCCTTAAATAATCTCATAACTTTTCCCCATCCACTCCTATCCCGTGTCCCTAGAGCAGATAATGCTAAATTCTGATGGCAGCTCACATGGTATACCTGGGTCAACCAGAATAGAGGTGGTCCTAAAAGAGAGTTCATATCTGCTACTAACACTGTCCCAACAAGTCATTACATTCACACACTGGGAACATCTCCCCATGAATGACAAGTGAGATGTTCCCAATGTGTGGTCGCAGTGGCCAGTTGGGACAGTGTTGGAGTGTTCTGTTGGTAGCAGATCCCTACCCCCTAAAGGAAGGCATAATGATTCTACTATTTGAGCTGTCAGTAGCCAAGTGGGGTTAAAAAAGGTTCCAAGGATGAGAAGGTTTCCCTTCTTATGAACCAAAGATTGTTAAAAGAATGCATTCTTCCTCTTTCACTGTTCTTGGTGAAGCAGCTAATGCTATCAAAGTATCAGGTTGGCCAAAATTATGCTTCTGGCCCTTGAGGATTGGCCCATTACAATATTGAGATTAGAGACAATCTCATCTTATTCCTAAACAAGTATGCTTGATTCCTAAAGAGCACAACACTGTAGCTAACAAGTTATCTAGATAGGGCATTAGAAGGGTATTTCTGTGCAGTTATAATTCTATACCTGCCTAGTTCTTTGTACAGGGTTGCAATATTATATTTTGTCTCCCTCTGTACATCCTCTCAAGCACATTCATTTTTCATTAAAATAAAAAATGATCCAATTTCCTTCTTCAGAAGAAAAAGAAAAAACAAATCACCATCTACGTGTCAAAGATGTAGTTAGAGGAATGATTAACTTCCGGAGGATGCAGTATGAAAGACCAAAGTACCCATCTCATCCTTCTGCTATGCTCCTCTAACCATATATAAAATAATATCTGATCAGTTCACTATTGATTTAACTTGGTATGGAGGAAAATTTTACAGATGATTGAGTATGAATAATTGGAACTTTGATGTTCACTGAATCCAGGAGATAATGCAAAGTGTGAAACTTGAAAAAAAAAAATTGTTGGGAAAGGTCATCGAAAAAGAATAGAGGGATCTCTCTGCAGCACCATGACACAAACTAAGGATTCCATGGTTGAGTCAAAATGGGAGGAGATACTCTCGAAGAAAAAGAAATAATAAAAGAAAAATAATCTTCTTGATTGGCAGTCATCCAAAGTTAACTCAATTATATATAAAACAATACAAGTTTTCAGTATCATGAGTTGATAGTGCACAAACATGTTGCTAGCTTTACATGTTTAGGCGCCCCATGAAAATATGAAACACGTTTCTGAAGATCCTGAATGAAGGGAACGACAATTGGATCCTTAGAATTAAGCACGAAAACCTCTGTCGCTGTGATTATTGCTTTGATGTGTTCCAGATTGATGACAATCGCCCTCTCCCTTCCAAGAATCGAGGAAGGATAGGAAAGCATCGGATCAAGAACCCTAAGATCGCGAGCCGGGAGCCCCGTCCTCTTCATGATAACATGCTTGCCAACCTCCTCAACGTGAGATTGCCCAAACTCCGAGATCACAAGCCATGTCCTGGTTCCTATCCCCTTCCGCCTTGTCTGCGGTGGAATGAATGGGGTTTGGTTGAATTCCTCATCTGAAGAGACTTTGGGTGACTTCATCTTACCCTTCTGGCTTTAGTTCACTAGGAATGTTGCAAATCGATTGCTCATTAAACCCTAAGGATCTGTAATTCGATCAATAAGTGAGAAAAAATGGAGTAAAAATCGAAAACTGGTCTGGAAGGGGGATGTGTAGCTAGGGCGCAGGAAGAGGAAAGAGACTCAAGGGAGAGAGAAAGAGAGAACTTTTAAGATTCCCGCCAAATTCGGAAAGTGCTATATCTCGTGGTGATCCAAGTGGCACATATACCTGCATTAACGGAATTTCGAATTGATAAATAAGTGTGTATAAAAGGAATTTGCGCAAGATCTAAACCGTCCGATCCAATTACCTCAAGAATTTGGTGTCAGTTGCGAACAGTTGACGATACGCGTGTTGGGCGTAGATATAATTAGGTTCAGGGATCCAGAAGAAATCCAGTGCATTGGATAAGCTCCAAGGCTCGAGCCTTATCGAACGGGCGCCCCACCCGTGCCCAATAGGCACATCCCTCGTGTATTTAGAACATCTCCTAGGAGATGTTACAATTGCACGGGCGGATGTGCCTGTCGGGCGCGTTAAGTGGGAGCCCATCCGAACTCGTTTGCTCAGTTTGGAAGGAGTACAAATAAATTTTGAGTATAAAACCTTTATTTCAGAAAAAAAAGTATAAAATTTTATATTTTGTATATATTTATATTTGTACTTTTTCTAAAGGAAAAATTACTGATAGATATCCTGTACTTAGGCCCAATGCCAATTTATTACTAGAATTTTAAAACGGACAATCTAGTATTCGAACTTTGTAAATGCCATAATCTAAGTAACTAGAATTTTAAAACGGACAATCTAGTATTCGAACTTTCTCTCAGCTCCATTCTTATTCCTCCCAATGTAATCACTTGTTTTGATTTCTGGGGATGTGCCCCGTTCTGTGTAGCCCCATTCTGGTTTTATCAAAAAAAAAAAAAAAAAGAAAGAAAGAGGGGGGAGGGGTTTATTCGTTCCAATTCAGTTGGAAAAATTGTCTGATCAATTATCATTTGATCATGTTAAATTATGCTTTATGGCCATCATGCCGTTGACTTGCTAAAGAAATGTAAAGGGAATAAGAGCCATTAATTTATTAGACTAAATAGTAACTATGCAAAGAGAACAACCAAAATGCCCATAAAGCAGTTCAATAATTCAAAGAGCAGACTATGTGTAAACCATAAATTGAATGTCCAAACTACTAAAATGGTTCAATTTGGTTTGTGGTTCTTTAAATGCTAGATAAAATGTTTGAGATGCCATAGTGAAAAAAGATAAAATGTCTATATGTTAAGCAATATGCACCAGTTCTCTAAAAGGTTTCAACTCATCTTTCATAATTTAGCTTGATCCTATCTATGTATTTGCACAAAATAAGTGATTTTAGAATTGAATTTTGGATTCATTGATTTTAGTGAATCCAATTATTTCAAAAAATATGAATGCACGGTTTGGAGGTCTACAACTATTTTGGAACAATGAACTACTCATAACTCATTATGGCAAATGCTCTATAATTAACTTATTTAATTTGCAAAATATTTGTGTCTATGTAATTTGACTAAGCAAATGATTTGTTTCAAGATATTGGAGCATATGCCATGCATCTGGGTAGGACGTTTTTGCTTCATAAGTAGTTTTTTCTTATAATATTTTTTTATAAAATTTGGACTCTATTGGACCTAGTCCATTTGTAATGGTTTATATTGGATTGAGTTGGGTTGAACCAATATCTGTCTATTGATAGAAGATAAGATTGGAGTGGTCAATGGACCATGTTTGGGTTGGACACAATCTGAATTAAAACCAAATTGAACAAATTGGACACTCCAATAAGTCAGTGGATTGGACTAGTCCGGGTTGAACAGTCCAATAAGACAATGGATTAGTCCAGTCTAATCCAGTCCAGGTTGGACTGTATAATAAGACAATGGACTGGATCAGTCCAATCCAGTTCAGGTTGGACTATCCAATAAGACAATGTATTGGACCTGTCCAATCCAATCCTGGTTGTATTGTCCAATAAGACAGTGGATTGGATCAGTCCAATCCAGTTCGGGTTGGACAGTCCAATAAGACAGTGGGTTCAACAAATGCTTATTGGTGACTAAAACTGTGAAACAAGAGGATCCACACCAACAAAAGAAGCTTGCAGCACTCTTGTGCTCCTACATAGAGAGTTTGAACAAGAACCACATGACCCCTTTCATCAATAATGAATATCATGACCATAAGACCTGTTCTTCCTCCACCATGGCCCATAATTGCAAGCATGGTTGGCAAGTTATGACAGTTTTAGGGCATTGATAACTCATAGTTTTGCAATTTTATAGCCCTCATTGATAGGATATCTGTCATGAGAAGTGTTTGGCTAGTAGTAGTGAGTCTAGTGATGACTTATCTCCCTTTAATGCTAAGGTTTTGGTAGCTTCACTTAATTTCCTATTGAATGCTCTTTTCTTGGATCTATAGGACCTAGTAAAGATATGATCTCTAGGATGCCAAGCTTTTTTTTTCTTTGATCTCTCTCTCTCTCCTTCCTTTCTTTTGGCCTTTTCATGCAATTCATTGATTACTTCATCTCCTTCTGCTTCAACAAATCTCTCCAGTTTCTAACACTAACTTTTGCTTCCCTAGTATTACTAGACATAGAATTGAAGAAATGAATTTTCTAGCATCGTACTGTTAATGCAAAGGAATGTGATATGTCGAAAACATCTTATAACACAGATTGCAGAGAAGGATGAAACAACAATCACATAATACAGAATGAGAGCTTTTAATAGCTTGCTAGAATAATGTACTAGATCGTGCTTTGAATTGTCTTATTTGCTTAATTATGTACCATGTTGTGTACAACTGTGTTAAATTGGGAATTATTGCTAGTTTGCTAGAAGCCTATAGGTGAGAAGATAGACTTAAGAACAGAATGACAAATACCTTTTAGAGAAGCTTGCCCATAGTCATTTGAGATGGGTTGCCTATGTACAATAAAGATTAGGATTGGTTTGCTACATGTTGAAGTCACCAATTGATGCTTTAATACAATAGCCTTAGGTAATGGAATGGTGGAACAAATCTTCCATAGCTGGCAAGTTGAGTTGGTATAGAGGTTTTATTACTATTGTTGCTGACGATTATCATGCAATTGAAGGGTACACTAGCTGGTACTTATTATGGAAACAAAAATTGTTTTTCTTCTCCTAGAATTGAAAGGCTCAACCTCCTGGAATGCAACACTTGTTGATCTTTCAAAGTATACCAATTCGTGTTATCCATAGGGGTGGCAATTTTCCTCGTCCCTGATGGGTACCCGGGTTCTCCGATCCAATGGGCTCGGATATGGGGGTACTTTGGTAGGGTCAGGGTCGGGGATGGGGATCCCTGAATCCCCAATCGGGTTCGGGAATGGGGATGGGGAATGCAATCCCCGCCCCGATTAATATTATAATTATAAATTATATATATAATATAATATATTATATAATTATAATAATTATTAGCTTACTATTCACTTTTTTAAAAGATTAAAACATAAAAAAGTAAAACACTAAAACACTTCAATAGTAATTAGTAAAACCCTTCGACTAAAAATCGATTTCGAGTCTTCGATAGAGAGAAGAGAGATGACTGAACCCTAGCTTCGTCTTCGTCACCGATTCACCGACCATTGACTGTCGCCACTTGCCCCGTTGCCCGTCGGACATCAGACAGAGGAGAGGACAGAGATACTCGAGTCTCGACAAAGGACAGAGAAGAGATACTCAAAGATCTTCCTTCAACCTTCGTCATCGTTGCCGTCGTCGTCGCCCTTGCCGACCTCAACTCTCACAACGGTCCTCTCTCTCTCTTTCTCTCTCTCTCAGTTTTAGTATCTCATACTCTCAGTCTTTCTCTCAACTCTTGCAACGCTCCTTGCCGCCGTCGCTGTCGCCCTTGTCCAACATTGACACCCGTAAGTTTTGATTCAGTTTTTTTTTCCCAAACCTGTTTTATCTTAATCATTTTGTTTTAAGTGGTTACAGCTTATTAAATCTCATGGTTGTCAATTTCATCAAACTTTTTCAACATATTCAGTTATAGAGATTTAAGGCCTTGAGGGAACTATCTTAGTGTTCAGTCAGCCTTTAAGCTGCCTGAATATCTTCTCTGTATCCTGTTGGATACAAGAGAGTTTCTAATTTTTTAGTAGTACATGAAAATTTTAATTAAAATAAAAAGAGAGAAGATGGGGAATTCGGGTGAATTCCCCGTAGGGGTCAGGGATGGGGAATGTAATCCCCGCCCTGAACCCGCCCCGTTGCCATTCCAAGTTATCCATCCAATGCCCATTTTACTAGTTATACATGGTCTTGTACTGTGAAGATAAACTTTGTTGCATAAATAGTTCTGGCTAAAAGATACTACTTTTGTTAGAGGTAAGATAATTTGTGAATGACAATCGGTAAAATGTTTGGTGGTTTACGTATTTATTGTGAAGTTTGTAAATTGAGAGAAGACAGAGTCAATTTATGACCTATTTCTTTATTGTTCCTCTACTGTATATGTTCTATTGGTTTTCCTTGTATCTATATCTTTTCTTCCTTTTGCCAACTTTTGAAGGGTTTGGAAGGAAAGCAATTCTACCATTTTTTTTAGGATGTCTACAATAATGTATGCAACCTTGTAGATTTATTGGTCATCCATGTTTAAGGAATTGAAGAAGATATTATGATTTTGTTTTTTACTTGTGCACTCAAGTGTAGTTTATAAGTACAAACGTACACCACAAACTTGTAATTGAGGGTCTCTTCTCCACTTTAAATTTCTACAAACTTATCTGTTAAAGAATATTTGCTTTCTCCTGTATCATATCCCCTATACTTTGTTTCTGTTTAGATTTGTCGTTTTACTGCATTAAATATGATGATTTATTTATCATTATCTATTAACTCTTCAATTATAACTGTACAAGCAATATATAGAAATATTTCTCATTATTTATCAAATTCCACCATTCACATAAATAAACCACCAAGTACTAAATCTGAATCAAATTCCACTGAGCACTGAAACCAAATTTCACAGAGTTTACTTTGTAAACTCAATTCTGTTTACTTGGATCTGCATGTATGTTGCTTTTAACCTTTCTTGTCTTAGTATTGAACAACATAGCTGAGTCTTTTTTCCTATATATATTTTTTTTCTCATTTTTTAAAAGCTTGTGGCTTCAAGGATTTCTCTTATGCATCTGCCTTTGATTTTAGAGGTGCTTTTTGTGTTCTTATCTTTTACTCTTTTTTAATATTTTCTTTTATATCTTTGTTGGTTATCAAGAGAAGATAAAGGGAGTAGACTTAATAGGTGAAGCATCAATGAAAAAATCGTTA